GTCAAAATCAGAAAAAAAGGTTGACTTTTTTCTGATTTTGTGATAATTTTTGAGAAGTCTTGAACTTGTTCCATAATGAGATGCTACTTAGACTATAATTCAGAAAGAAAGAGGGCTTCTGAGGACATGTGGCTTTTGATATATGATTTTTGTGTGCTTCCTATTGGAAACTGGGGTCTGGACACATAAACAGATGGAGGAGTTTCTTTATGTGCTCAGAAGTTGGAGAACCCTCATTAGTGGGGAATGAGCACCAACTATCTATTGAAAGTGAATGTACATACACCTTGGGATATTCCCAGGGGTTACAAATGGATGCTCAGTGGTCGTACTAGCTTATATCTGAAATCTTAATTCACTTTTTTCTTTTATTCTTCTCTGTATTTCTTCTGTTAGCCTAACCTCCTCCAACTTAGGAGCCACTCCACTATTTTAGGCCCTGCTGTAAAGTATGACCTTTGCCTAAAATCTGGTGACACAGGCCCTTCCCCTGTCAGCTGACTCGGGATTACCTTATCTGGTGACACAGATAGCTACAACAATAAACCTTAGCCAGGCCACAACAAAATTCCCTGCTCTCCCACCCCTCACAATCTCTATGTCTCACACAAACCAGACTGCAGAATACCCCCGACCCCTAGTAAAAGCCTCCACCTCTAGCTCCCTATAACTATCCTTCCCAGCTTAATGGCAGCTGCTGGTCTTTCTCCTGATGGAATCAGCCTGCCAGTTTTTCTGGCATTAAAACTTTTCTTCCTCTCTTGGATGTGTGTGGCATGCTTTATCCAGTTGAGGTAACTAACAGCTCCCCTGTGGAGCTTCTGCTCCACAGAAAAATATTGGCTTTTGTGTATTGCACCTGTACAGGTATTCAGGTAACACTAGTCATGTGGACCATAGTGGGTTCACAGGTGATTTTACTACTGCATCAAATGGAAGGAGAAAACCCTTAGTTGCCCAAGAGGATGAGATAGTATTGCAAATGGAGATGCAGAAAATGGCTGGTGAGTGACAAAGGGGACATTTCTCTACTGCCCTTTCCACAATGAGAGGGTGTAGTGTAGGATTTAGACAGATCTATCATAGAGTAGGTATTTGAGAAGAGAACACATAGAATTTTAAGGCAAATCTGGTCTTCTCAGAAATTTCCCAAGAGCCAGGCAGTGGTGGCTCACATCTCTAATCGTAGTTAACCAGGACGATGAGATCTGAGGATAATACTTAAAAGCTGGCCCAAGCAGAAACTTTGAAGAAACATTAATCTCCCATTAATCATCAAAAACCCAGATAGTAGACTTGTGGCTTAAGTGGTAGAGTGCCAGCCTTGAGCACACCAAGTGAGGGCACCAAACATGCAAGCCCCTGCACTGATGCAGTATAAAAAATAAGAAATATCCTCCCCCAACAAGAAATAAAAAAAATGTTTTATCCAATAAGGGCACAGTCACTAATTTTGCTAAAGACCTACTGTGTAAAAGTTTCTGGGAGAAAGTATAGGAGTGCATCACATTATGTGCTTGCCTATATGAGCTCAATGGAGCACTACTTTTCACCTTAGCACACATGATGTTTCCAGACATTTGAAAGCCAGCATGAATTTCCATGCTTCCTAATTCCTTTCAATTGCAAACATAAATGATATTTCCAAGTGAAGGTCATCAAGGCAACTAATCAGCTTACTGTCCCTCCTCCACTCACCTCTTCTAATTTTTTAATGCTTTGTGGGTTTTGAGCAATAGCCCGTATGATGACTAGACATATACTCTATCAATTTAGTGACTTCCAACATTTTTCTATATGAGGGAAATTTGCTAGTCCTAGTTTTAATCTGAAATTATTTTTTTTCCTTTTTTATATGTAGGGCTTGAATTAAGGGCCAGGATGCTATCCCTGAACTCTTTTGCTCAAGAATAGCCTTCTACCACTCTGAGCCATAGGGCCACTTCTAGCTTTTTCTGTCATTAATTGGAGAGAAGAGTTTCAAGAATTTTTCTGCCCAGGCTGGCTTTGAATAGCAATCCACAGATCTCAGCATCCTGAGTAACTTGGATTATAGATATGACCAGCTGGCTCTCCTTTGTCTGAAATTTGTAGGAAAGATTCAGATTCTGAGAGGTTCAGGTAAGAAAGGTGTCTAGAAGGTGAACAGAGGAAATCCTACTAACAAGTGCAAAGCTGTCATCCCAAAATCAGCCTTTGCCCAACATTCCACCCCTCCCCCAGACCCCCTTCAGAATCCTGTGACCATGGAGATAGATTTGAGCAATAAATTTGGAGGGGAGAAGCAGTTTGTCTCAGCTGGATCTAGGTGAGACAAGTTGATTGGCAAAAGCTCAGATTCATGTACAGAACCATAAAAAGAGTAAAAAGTGTCACTGTTTTGACTTCTCAGTCCTGAACCCTGGGGAGTATCAGGACAGTTGAGCACTCCTCCACCATTTATGCACTTTAACCCTTACCATCCTACCTAACCTTAACTTTTCCCTTGAGGTACTGTGAGAATAACAGCCTTAGTCTAGGGTCCATGGAAATAAGAGGCCTTTGGCTATCTGAAGGGAAGCAGGGAAAACTTCAAACTATTTTTACCATTGTTCTCAGCCACACTCCTAAGGGCCTCTTGGAAGGTGAAGAGTCTGCCTTTTCTTGACTCCCTCCTACCACATAGGATACTGAGAATCTTTGTCTGAAGTCATTGGTGTGGAGAGGGCAGGACTTTGTAGGGCCTATGTGAGCGGTTAACACACTCCTGGTGGACATGGGTCTGGAACATTCACTTCCACCATGCAGTGATAAAGGAAATGAGGGCCTTGGCTGGTCAGGGCCAAGACTGTTAAGGAAAGGACCTTAGACTCCAGGTTAAGGGAGACACAGAGAGACAGTCTGCCCCTGCAGTCAGTCCAGGGAGGCCAGGTGCTTTCTCACCACGGTAGTGATGTCATACTTACCTTTCTAGGTCATAGAGGGTTAGGAATTAGGAAGACAGATAAATGCTGAATTTCACAGACTGAGGCCCAGATGCTGACCGAAGTCTCTGGGTGAAGATACAGGAGCAGCTTAGATTCCCCTAGACACAATAAGACCTACTCATGCACTGACCCTGTGGATACCTCAGATCAGGTGATCGAACAACTAAGTCTTTACTTCTCAATCTAAGGGATGGGATAATTCCTGTAGGGAGTCAAGGTGAGATGTCAGGTAACACTAAGATTAGGGACCTTGTCCTTATTTTCATACTGAGTCCTGATCTTCCTCCAACTCTGTGGGAGGTGACAGGTGGTATGAGAGGTGTGGGGTTTCTTCCTGGATTACAGGGGAGGACTTAGGTAGGAACAAAGGAATGTTGCATATCAGATCAGAGGTAGATCTTCTCTCCCTTGTCATTCTGGGGAGGCCTAGAACAGCATTCCTCCATTGAGGGCACCTTGTATTTTGACTGTTAGGCTAGTTTCAAGGAGAAGTAGAACTTGGTCTGAAGAGAATGTCCTCTGCCCAGCACAGCCAACAGAGTAAAGCAAGATCTCCTTTTTCAGGATGTAGGGAAACTACTTGCATTTTAAACCCAGGGTGGCTCTAGGTAGCACTGTGGGTAACAAATGGCTCCAGTGGTTACTCAAAGCAGGAGGATGAGGAAAATGGTAGTCTTGGCCTGCAAATGTATCTGGAGATCAACAGAGGGAAAATACCCAGACCCTTTGAAGAATGATCATGAATACCTTGAGAGATCCCACACAAAAGAAAAGCCCTGGATCCTGCTCCCTCTGTCAGCTTTGGGAAATCTCGCCCGGACTATTCACATGAATTGTTTATATACTTCTGTCTTACAGGAACCAGGAGGCTGAGGCCCCAGAATGAGAGAATTCAACAAAACCATTGGGTCAGCAAGAGGGAGTGCTCGGAATTAATCTGGAGTTAAAGTGAGGACAGGTATAAGCAATTACTCATACACATGGGACTCTCCTAACATGCTTCCTTCCTTTATGTATGAGAAAACCCAGAAATCATAAGTGCATTCATCTCCCTTTTGGTCTTTAGGATTTCTCACAGAAGTAAGTTTTGGGCTTTGGAATTGTGGCCTGAGGTGCTGAGAGGGAAATTTCACAGCCTAGAATTTAACAAGAAGAACACTGAGCCAGTCCTTCACCCATATGGTCCATACTGCATATGGTCAACTTCACTGTTGCCCCTGGTTACCTGTGATGTCTTCTCATTGCCTCTTGTTCCATTATAAGAACCTGGACACCACTTATGAGAGCATGTCTCAGGCCAGCAGAGAGTAGTCCACACATCTGTAGAGGAACTTTAGACAGCTACAGTGAGTTCAGTAGAGGCTGCCTATTGCAGAACATTGAGGAATTTGCAGTCTACCTCCTTCTCACTCATTGTCCAGCCTGGAGGCCTCATGTTGTCCTTGCATACTGGGACCCAAGGGAGAGAAAGAGGTCTGACTCACTGCCAACTGTACATACTCCAGGGACCAGGAGGTGAAAGTCTTGGCCTGAAGTAGTATCCTCATGTAATCCAGCTGAAGATTCTCTGCTAGGGTCAGAATTTACGATTGAGGTACATAGGATGAAATGGTACCATATGCTCCATTTACCCCACATCATGAACTCTGCATCAATCAGCACTACACACTCCACTAGCACCCCAGAGACTAAGACCCACTCAGCACCTTGTGCCTTGTTGAGTTGTTCCCTGACATTTAGGCTTCAGGCAACAGACACAAGAGGGAGACAGGAACCTATGTGGTCCTAAAGCACCGAAGGGAAGGTCAGTAGTAAGTCTTAAGGAAGCTGCCAGGAGGAATATTCTTAGCTGAAACTATTTCCCTGCTTTCTCTCTCACAGGCCTAGGAATCTTCGTCATTGAGCTGCTCTCCACCCTCTTATTTGTTATCTACAAGGAAAGCCCTCATGCCCCATACTCACAGGACCCATCCCTCTGAACTTGAGAGAAATCCTCAGGCCCAAAGAAAGCCCACAGGCCTGGAGGGTGAGCAGATGCCCCAGGCTATGGAGGCTTCTACTTCTTTGATGCCCCCTACCCCAAGGGGCATTTCAGAAGATCTCCTGGGTGAGGTTGTTAGGGAAGACCTGTGCCTCCATGATGATGAGATAATGCATATACCCCTTCGGAAAGAGGCAATATCATTGGTACCATACCTGCTACATAAGTATTCTTCAAATGAGTCAGTTTCTGACACGGATATGCTGAGTCACATCAAGAGAGATTACCGGCGTTACTTCCCTCTCATCATAGACAAAGCTTCAGTATTTATGCAACTACTGTTTGGCATTGAACTGAAGGAGGTAGACCCCATTCTACACACCCATGTCCTTGTTATAGTGGCAGGGATCACTTACGATGGTGCTCTTAGTGATGTGCAAGGCATGCCCAAGACAGGCCTGCTGATAATCGTGCTATGCATTATCTTCATGGAAGGCAATTGTGCCACAGAGGATGCCATCTGGCATGTTCTTAATGAGATGGAAGTCTATTCTGACAGGGAACATTTCCTTTATGGAAAACCTAGGAAGCTGCTTGTGGAAGATTTTGTGTTTGAGCAATACCTGAAATATGAACAGGTTCCCGGAAGTGATCCCATTGCATATGAGTTCAGGTGGGGCCCAAGGGCCTATACAGAAACCACAAAAATGAAAGTTTTGGAACACTGGGCCAAGGTCAGTGGACTTGACCCAATGGCCTTCCCAACACTATATGAAGAAGCTTTACAAGAAGACCAGGGAGCAAGTACCCATGCTACTGCTTCTTTAATAGAAGAGTGATTCTTCCTAATTTTAAGACCAGTGAAGAAATCGGTTCCACCTTAACATCCCAGTGGAAGAGCAATTTCCTTTGAAATGGTCAAAATTCCTAACTATGAAATAAATCAATACAGAAAAACTCACTGTTAGTACTTGCCTTACCCATTTTATATGTAACACCAAAAATTAAATACATTGTCGATTTTGGTTAGCTATGTGTGCACTTATGGGAAATTATATTTTAAAGATAAGACCCACAACTCAATAACTGTTTTCTTCTGCAAATTAATTTTAGCATCATCTCTTGGTAATATCTTTAATTAATATACAATTTCATAGGTTTTTTTGTTTTTGCTTTCTTCTTGTTGTGGAGCTTGAACTCTGGGCCTGGGTACTATACCTCAGCTTTTCAGCTCAAGGCTAGTTCTCTACCACTTGGGCCATAGTGCCACTTACGGCTTTTTCTGTTTATGTGGTGCTGAGGAATTGAACCCAGGGCCTCATGCATGTGAGGTAAGCACTCTACCACTGAGCCACATTCCCAGCCCAATTTCATAGGGTTTTAAGCATCAGCCTTACCAAGAAAATGTAGAATGAAATGAACTCCAGAAAATGGAAAGAACAGATTTCTTTTCTTTTTGTTTTATCTATCATTGGGAATGACAAAGCAGGAATAAATGAAGCAGTGGTAACACTAGCATTATGTTGTATGAACTATACAACATGTGGATGGGAGTGGGAGGGAAAAACTGGGAGAGAATGAGGGGAAAGGGTTATGTTTCCCTCCAAAAATGCACCCCTCAAAATGTACTCTGTACCTCACCGTCATAGCAATAAAAATGCACAAGTAAGCAGATATGCCAGGTGCAAGCAGCTCATGCCTATAAATCATACTTAGGAGGCTGCTGAGATCTGAGGGTGGAGATTTGAAGCCAGCCCCAGCAGTAAAGTCTGTGAGACTCATATGTTCAATTAGCCACCAAAACCCCCAAAATTAGAGCTCCAAGAATAAAAAGGAACAGTGCTCAGGCCATGAGTTCAAACCCAGGACCAGCACATCCAAAAATATGAGGTTACATAATTTGCAGAAAAATAGATGGAACTTGTATGAAAGAAGCCAAATTGAGAATGATCAGTATTGCTTCTTTTCTCCCATATACATAATCTTCTTCCTCACCAATAAAACACAAAAGATAAAAAGCTAAAGGTAAAATGGGGACTCACTTGAATGAGGACATCCAGTGGCAAATGATGGCTTAATGATAGTATGATATTTGAGTATTATAAAAGGGCAATACATGAATGTAGGAAAATAGAATAAGTAAGCCCAGCTTAAAAGAAATTTAAGAATTAAGAACAGTGATTTCAATGGGGAAGCAGCTAGCAGAAAAGGAGCTGGTCTTTGACTCACATTGTAGGATCTATCATTCTGGGTTTTGCAAAGTAACTTCAAATGGGGGAACTTTTTCTGAATTTATGACAGTTCATTTTGGTTACCTTTTCTCCTGAGCTGCATGTCCTCTGATAGATCCTGGAGAAGAGTGACATGAACAGCATCCCCACATGGAAAGGGCTGGGGTGAAATGCCATTAGAAATGACTGTCTCTGCCGTTCACTACAGCTCCAGAACTCACAAGCATAACTTACTTCTTGAAGTTAACAGAGGAAGGCCGCAGACACACACTGCTGCTGCTCAGCTTGAGGACTTTGGAAGGCCAGCCCTTGCTGTGAGCCTTGAGAGGCACTGAGAAGACCAGGCAGCTGCTTTGTGACTTCTACCTCAAATTCTAAGAGAGATAATGGTTTAGTAGAGTGAGCTCTGCCTCAGCTGAACAGAGAGCTGCCTATCATATAGGAAGTAAAGAGGCACTAAGCCAAACTGAGTGTTCCAGGACCCAGTACGGATGGGGTACAAACTTGTTCCTACTTTCAGAGTCATGGTTAAATATCCGTGTTCCAGGACCCAGTACGGATGGGGTACAAACTTGTTCCTACTTTCAGAGTCATGGTTAAATATCCAGTAACTGGTCCTTCCCTATCCAAGGACCTCAAGCAAATATGAATTCTAAGATCACCTTCACCAGAAGCAGTTGGTGAGGGAGTTATAGAAGTGCTCACCTGACTACATACTGAGGTGAAAACAGGTTCAGATAGATTGCTTGAAATCTGTCCATAGGAGACAATGTGTGTCTTCTTATCATTTGCTTCCACATGGATCACTACAATGAATTTGGCTGTCCCTTTTCAAGGATCCTAGACCAAGGCTGCTGATCTCAGTGTTTTGAGGCTGAAGGAAGACATAGGACATGAGTGTATTCCATTTACTAGACGATCTATGGAGGGAAAGTGGGAGAAAAATGAGAAAAGGGGTAATAAGTTTGACAAGAAATGTACTCACTACCTTACATATGTAACTGTAACCCCTCTGTACATCACCTTGACAACAAAATTAAATTTAAAAAAATAAAAAATAATACACTGAGCACTGGTGACTGACACCTGTAATCCTAGTTATTCAGGTGGCTGAGATCTGAGGATGGAAGTTTGAAGCCTAGGCAGAAAAGTCTGTGAGACTTTTATCTCCAATTAAACCCCAAACACCTGGAAGTGGAACTTTGGACCCAGTGGTAGAGCAGTAGCCTTGATTAAAAAACCTCAGGGACAGTGTGCAGGTCCAGAGTTCAATCTACACCAAAAATTAAAAAGAAATATACCAGAGACCACACAAGCCTTACCGTGGTGTGTTTCCCGGGAGGCCCTATGCCATGTGACCAGAAATGTGATGCCTTACTTATGCTCTGAGTCTGACAGGGCTTAAGGTTTGGGTAGAAGAAACTGACTTTGAATGTAGCAGAGGCGTCAGGCATGGTTGGAAGTCAAGGTGAGTACTGAGAGAGACTGAGAGGAACCTGAGGAAGCTCATCCCTCCCCTGCTCTAAGTCATTTAGAGCAGATGACTAGGCAGCAGATTCTGACTAATGCCTCATAGTGTGAGAGGGCAGGGGAATTGGTGGAAAGAGCACTACCTCAGCAGAGGGATGGGGCCCAGGTCTAGACGGAGTCAGGTGAAATATCGGGCAACACTGAGGGGTCCAGCACCCAGTACAAATAGAGTTCAGCATTACCTCTACTTTTCACATGGAGTCCCATTCCTTACTTAACTCTAAAATCTGGGGGAGGAGATTCAGGTCCTGAGAGGGGCAAAGTTGTGTCTAGAGCAAAGGGTAGGACTCAGGGAGGAATGAGAGACAGGGGACTCCTCCACATCCCAGCAGCCCTGAGAGGCCCACGTCATAGTGGCCTGATTCAAGTCATTTGTGTGTGTATATGTGTGTATGTGTGTGTGTGTGTGTGTGTGTGTGTTGCGTGCATGCGTGTGCACCAGTCCTGTGGCTTGGACTCAGGTCCTGGGTGCTATCCTTGAGCTTTTTTGCTCAAAGTTAGCACTCTACCACTTGAGCTACAGCTCCACTTTTTTTTTTGTAGTTAAGTGCAGCTAAGAGTCTCACAAACTTTTCTGCCCAAACTGGCTTTGAACCAAGCTCCTCAGATCTCAGATTGCTGAGTAGCTAGGTATATACCTAGGAGCCATGTGTGCCAGACTTAAAGTCACCTTTAATTGTGATTTTAAGGCTTGTCTCAGGAAGAAGTGGATCATGGTCTCTCAGCAGAGCCCTTAGGGAGGAATTAGGAGAACCTCAAGGTAAAACACAGGAAACCTTCCCAACTCTCAGACCAGAGTTGCTCCGGGAAGTGGTATGGGGAAGAGACCCAATCCCTGGCTTCCTAGTCATGATTTAGGTCATAGAGATGAGGTCATGGAGATAAGAATCCTCTTCATGGCTAGAAGCTAGTGTCTCATACCCGTAATCCTAACTACTCAAGAGAATGAGATCTGAGGATTGTACTTCCAAGTCATTCTGGGTAGGAAAGTCCATGAGACACTTATCTCCAATTAACCAGTAGAAAATGAGAAGTGTAGCTGTGGCACAAAGTAGTGGAGTGCTAGCCTTGAGTGAAAAAACTCAGACAGCACTCAGTTGCTGAATTCAAGCCCTACAGCAAACCCCCCAAAAAATCTTCTTTATGGATGGATGTCCCAATGAGTTCCAGCTTCACTACCATCTTCCAGATTTCAGCAGGTGAGAACTTGGAGTGAGAAAAAATATCAGACTAATGAGGACTTCTCCTAGTGAACTGAGGGAGATGTGCAAGATCTACTAGGAATCAAGGTAAGGTCATGGTCAGAGTCAAATTCCAGCCCAAACACAGCTCCCCCCATCCCCACATGATAAAAATCTCAGGACCCTTACTTCCTCTTCTAATTACTGAGAGAAACAGGGTTATGGATTTTAAAAAAGGGAGAACTATCAACCTTGCATATATCAAGATGAGGACCAGCCCACTGCCCACTTCCTGTCCTGTCAAGACAGCAGCAACAATGGGTCCTGGGTCTCAAAGCTTTTTTTCTGAGGTGTTTACAGGACAGGAACAAGGCTCTGTGAGTAGAAGGAATTTCTGAGGGTAGACAGAGGAAACATGCCAGTCAAATAATCCAGTTTTGGCCCTTCTGTAACCATGAACAGGAGCTGTGTAGTCAGTATAGCAATAGAACCAGTGCTCTATGTATCATTCCATCTCAAGGGATGCTGGGAGAAATAGCCTTAGTGTGAGGTTCATGGAGGGGAGAGGTTCAAATTTCAGAGCAGTCCAGTTGAAAGCAGAGGATGGACAGAAGAACCTCTCACTCATGAAGTGTTCCACAATTATTCTGCTTCCTTTCCTGTGATTCCCCACAAAGGTTAGTGGTGGGGCTCTAAACAGGAGAGTGCCTTCTTTTGGTTCAGAGTTCCTAAAATCTTAGCAGTATTGTCATTGCTTCCAGGTAAGCATTTATAAAGTTTCCCTAAAGATGTAGGGACCCACTCCTTAGAGTTTTTGTCTCAGATCCTTGACTTTGATTGCAAAATAAGATTTTTCAGGACAAGTCACAATGGTCAGGAACATGGCTTTATGGAGAA